AGTTTTGGTGTGGCAACCATGGTTTTTCAGTGCCCCCCCCCCATGGCCCCCCTGAAAAACTTTCTGCAGGCACCACTGCTTTCAGAACCTCCTCTCTGGTGGTTCTAAGTGGTTTTTTATCTTATATTTTGTCCTCTAAGACAGAAGTTTTTATGTGAGAAGCACTGAGCGACGGTGGAGGAGACTTCAGACCGTTCTTACCAACACTGTAAACTTCCCACTGAGCAGCTCTGAGCGAAGGGGCTCCTCGTGAGGCTGGAGTCTGACGATTCCTTCTTTCAGTCGGGTTTCCTGAAGAAAACAGATCACAGCAGGTAAAGTAGTGTTTGGAGACTACAGAACGTTGCCATTTTGTCTCAGCTTCCTGTCTGTGAACAACAGTCACTCAGACATTAAAACTCCTGACATTAAAAACCCTGGAGAAGGAAATTATCTTCAGATTGCTTGAAAATGTTATTTTAATTGACCTTTAAGTTTATGGCTACATTCACAATGCAGGCCCTAATGTTCAATTCAAATTTTTTTTAATCTGATTTTTGGCATTAACGCATGCGCAGAAAAAGACGTGAATCACATTCAACCGGCTGTTTGTTTACAGAGCTAGCATGAATGCTACTTTTAGCATGTCGCATCTGAAATTGTTCAATCAGAGCCGATTAAATCACTATCTGACATACTTGTTTAGATCAGTGTTTATTTATTTCCAAACCTGCCTGACCATATGCTCCAGTCAAGCATTATATTTTTGGAGTATTGTGCTCGAAGTAAAGTCTCGAACTTTAGGATCCATACAGTTCACGACCGAATTTATACGTTACAATCATATGTTTCTGCGGATTCCCGGAATAATATCAAACCATGATAAGACTCAAAGATGAGGCATTGAGATGTCTCTATCTTAAGTCACTTTAAAATAGTCTGAAACTGAATTTGCTCATTTATTATTTTTTAAAAATACATCAAACAACATCATGCAGAAGTTAAAGTCTTCACGTTCAGTGCAATATTTTCTTTATGACACAAATATCCTGAAATATTGAAAAGAGCAATCCCAACACATTAAACCTGTTTATGTAAAAAGCTCTTCCTTGTCTTTTGAAAAAATAGGATGTCAAACATGTAAAAAGCTTTGAAAAGTTTAAAAACTTGATTAAATGTTGTTAAGATAAAAAAGAAATGCTTCAAAGTTAGTGCTTAACAACTATGATTTCCAGTGGTTTGTTTTTGTTCCATACTGATGCTCTCATTGACCCTTTAATGTGGCTGTATTACAGAAAATTTATACATAAATTA